CCTGTCCTTTTCTCACTTCCCTTCTGCTTCCTTCCTTCCTTTTCTCTCTCTTTTTTTTTTTTTTTGGTACTAGGGACCGAACCCAGTGCCCTGTGCATGCTAGGCAAATGCTGTACCACTGAGCTACACCACTGCCTCTCATTATGCTTTCTGACATCATTATTTAGCCTTGAGATTTCTCTCAAGGAAGGGCCTGAGTGAAATTCATTTGGGAAGAGATCATTCCCAAATGGTGTCATGGGTGACTCTTGAGTTGGCCTCACTGTGGGAGCCACTGCTTGATTTGCAAGATCTCCTGAAGAAGCAACCTCCTGACCTGAAGTGAGAGGCATCTATTGAAGAGATGGGAGAAGGCAGCATTTATTCATTGCTTCCAGTTTCCAATTAGTCAAGAGTTACCACTTGGACAATCATTTATCTATGCTTGCAGGTGCTGGTGCTTGGATGCCAAGTGGATTGCCATGGCCCACAGTGCATCAGAGACTTCCACGGGTGGGAGTGAGAGGTACTCAGGAGAGACGCAATGAGGAACTGTCAGATGAAATCTGTATGAAGCAATGAGGTTGAATGGAAGAATGGTTTTTGAGTAATAAGTGGGCTTGAGAGATTTGAAGGGTAATATGAGAATTGCTCATTAACAAAAATTTTATTACGAAGATTGCACTAATTTGGCAAGTGCAGACATGATTCAGCAGCTAAGAGCATGCACTGCTGCTTTAGAGAAGCCAAGCTCAGTTCCAGCACCCAGATTTGGCAGCTCACCACCACCTATAATTCCAGCTCCAGGAGATCTGACTCACTCTTCTGGCCTCATAGGCACTACACTCAGGTTGCAGCCCTCCTCACTCAGACACACATGTATACTCATTATTAAAAGTAAGATCTTTCTTAAAGAGATCACATTGATCTGATCTTTAAAAAAATAAGCAAATTGAAGTCTGTCAAACCAGTTTAATTAAAAAAAGAAATTGGTTTAATAAAAATAAAAGCTCTAGTCACAGTGAAGCAATGAATATAGTGTACAACTCTAGACAAAACTCACAAAAAATTATTTTGGCTTTTATTTGAGACAGGATTTCCCTATAGCCCCAGGTGGCCTGAAATTCACTACATAGGCCAGGTTGGCCTGGATCTCACAGAGATCTGCCTGCCTCTGCCTCCCAAGTGCTGGGATTAAAGGTGCCACCAGGCCTGGCTAGATGAAAACTTTTTGAATTGTAACTCTAGCCTGTACAAATATTATTTATAACATGTTAGGAGAACTACTGAAACATTCTGCAGTTGAGTTTCCTCATTGGTAAAACTCATAAAATCACATTGAACCCACAAATTGCTGTGAGCATTAAATGAATTGCACATATATGGTGCACAGAGGAGTCCACGGCTCAGTGTTAGTCATCATCAGTGCTATCCTAATCTTCACTGCCATCGTCAGCCTCACCATCCAGGACTGCAAATAATGTTTAAGGACTCTGTTTTCTTCACCCACGAGGTTTTCAGGAACTCAATAGCTTGAAACTCAAGAAAAAGGAAAGCCAGTCCTACTGGAACATCCCTGGGAAGAGAACTAATTGACCTAAGGGCCATGCTCCTGTCTATAGAGTCACCACAGTGATCAGCTCTCCATGGACCAAATCTGAATGATGACTCCATCTATGGATGAGTAGTGAAACTGACGGTAGACAAGGTCAACACACCCTAAGCACAAAGTGCGTGATCCCATAGTAAGTGACGGCCTGTAATTAGATGACTTTTAATGAGTTCACCAGGCTGGCAAAACAGAAAACATCTACCAACAACAGGGTTTTAAGTATATTGTGTTTATTCCTGAATGTATTTGCAGAAGTTTGTCACACTGCCAGCTTCTTAGGAGAGCTCAATGGAAGGGAACATTTTTAAAAATTATTTATTTAATAACCACATAATTAGAAGAAGCATTTCATTACAACAGCATTGACATATTCAATAACAATTTCCAGAGCTAAGATGCATCCCTTTCAAAATTGGCTGTAAATTTTTAGGTTTACAGTTGAATTAATACAGTTATATAATATTGTACTCTGTATAAACCCTATAAGACATAAAATTAAATGAGGTTTTAAACTTTAAAAACAATCTCCGTTTCATTATTAAAATACACAATTTCATACAGAAAAATTATTTTTTGATACAATTGACACTAAGATGCACGTACGTTTCTAATCTCTATATATCTGTTTATTATTAGTCATAGTCGGTTACTTTCTGAGCTCCTTGACGTCTGAGCATGGATATAAAGTCATCAGGTAGATTTCAATGGTAATGTTTTTCACATCTACTAATTATTAAGGAGCAAATTTTTATGCTTTGAAGAATTTTATTTTTAAATTTATACACCCACTTCCCATCCTCCCATAGCCTCCCTCCCCCCACTAGAGCCCTTATACTCTGATATCCCTACTACTCTCTGTTATGTTGTCGGCACCCCCAGCCATTCCCCACTACTTGTCTGTCTGGTGAATCTAGTCAGCCTATCTAGAGGTCTTTGTTTTAGGAGGGTCAGCTGTTCCTCATCTAGCGATAATCAGTTGTCAATATTCCTTTGGATAAGATTGGGGTCTGCTGTTCAATTTCCCAGTTCTATGCTGGGTTACTATCTGAAAATCCCTTTGGCCACCCTGGCCAATGACTCAAAAGAACGTATTGCCTGTCTAGAATTGTTGCTTGTTATATAGCCTTTAGCTATACATATGGACACTTATGAAATTTATATTGACTCCTTTAATCTTTGGTTATACTTTCCTTTTGGGTGTTTAAGGCCATACAGTTGGCCTAGATAAACCAATATATTTTTACTATTAAGGTCATTTGAGGATCTGTTTCTCGGGGGTCAGATGGGCTTGGGAGGAGCCCCTGGCTCCTTTCTTTTACCAGTTCTGTCCATGTGAAGATAAGTCAAAGGTCCTACTCAACCAAGGTTGGCTTCGCTTGGAAGCATGGAGGAAATGATTCCTCTGTGTTGACCCTGCTCTTTTTAGATTGGACACTGGCTCAAGTCCATCTGGTGGGATCTCCTCGGACTCCTTCACCAAGAGGACAGGTGACCCACCACAATTACAGGACATTTTGAGAGATGAGAACAAAGTGTCCTTTATGTCCCTCTGTCCAAATTGTTATAGACCTCAAAGAATGTCTGTTAAACACCTGTGCTGGATAGCTTTAGTGTTAACTTGACACACCTGGGTTGAGGGAGCCTCAATTGGGGAATTTCCTCTATTGGACTGGCCTGTGGCCATGTCTGAGGGGCATCTTCTTGATGAGTGATGTGGGAGGGCCCAGCCCACTGTGGGTCATGCCACCCCTGGGCAGGTGGGCCTGTGTTGCATAACAAAGCAGGCTGTGCAGGGGCCAAGGGAGCAAGCCAGTAAGCAGCGTTCCTCCATGGCCTGTGCTCCAGTTCCTGCTTCCAGGTTCCTGCCCTGAGTTCCTACCTTGGGCTCCCTGATGAACTGCGACCTGGAAGATGTAAACTGAATAAACCGTTTTAAAACTTATTTTGGAGCCAGAAAATGATCCATTCTATGCATATATTGAAAAGCATGCATTCTGATATTGCTGGGTAGAGCATTCTATAAATATGAATTAAGTCAAGTTGGCTGATAGTATTATTCAAGTTTTCTACATCATTACTGATTTTTTGCATATTTGTTAAATCAGTTCTTGAGGAAAGAGTGTTAATGACTGATTATAATTGTGGATTTTTCTATTTCTCTTTGAAATTCTATCATTTTGTTTCACAGATTTTGAAACTCTGTTATTAAGTATATACATCTTAAGATCATGTCTTTTGATAAATTGATGCCTTTATCATTATGAGAATACTCATTTTCTTTGGTTATGTTGTTTGTTTTGAAAAATAACTTTGATAATAGAATGGTAGCTCCAACTTCTTTCTTTTATAGTAGCCTACAGGTAAGATACTATTGTGTTCATATTTATTATTAATTACATATATAGTACTTTACTGATATACTATATACATCATACATACACAAAAATAAGACTTCAAAGGAAAAGATAAAAATAAATGGAAATGGAAGTTGTCATACTTTTCTTCCTACTTCCAGTGGACTGTCTTACACAGATTCCATTCTGGGAACCTCTATCCAAGCAATAGCATCCAGGAGCCTCCAGGTTGGCAGATAGGAAGAAACTTTGTTTTCACCTGTCTTCTGTTGATCCAAACCTAACGTTTCCACATCAGACAATTTACAGCAAACACATGAAGTCATTGATAGAACCTGAAGTGGGACAAAATTCCTATGTGTGCTCAGCTGAAAAAATCTCCATAATGGAATTATTCTTGACAAAGCACAAATTGGGGATGGCAGAGATTGGCAGAGAAAGAAAGGAGAAGAAATTGGGAAGTTCTTGCTTTTTGGCCACACAAGAACAAAAAGACAGACGGAAGGTCTGGTGAGTAGGTAGAAACTGCTCTGTAGAAAGACTGAACTGTGACCAGAGCGGGGCTGAGGAGTGTGCATAGCTGCTGTGTGACAGATGGCTGAGTTTGGGAATCTGTGCCTTTAACATCAAACAACTTTAGTTTTTCCCATAGAGACGACTGATAGTGGTTACAAGTCCTCATTAAGAAAGTGCAGACCAAAATGAAGGCTGAAGAATATTGCTGAGAGACTCAAAGAGCTCTACGAGAAAACCATCAGCTGAGGCCAAGGTGATTTGGGACTCAGAGGAGCTAGTAGTAGCAGAAGGAACAGTAGAAACACAGAAAGATGAAAAAAGAGACAGCTGCCACGTGGAAGTAGTGGAAAAGAAAGGAAGAAAGAAAAAATGAGAAAGAAAAGAGAGCATGCCCAAACCTTTGGAATTCCAGCCCTGCAAGGGAGTATTTGCCTCAGTACTGTTATAGATACAGATATCTTGAGAGTGAAACTGCCCTTTGTCTAGGCCCTTCACAGTATTATGAGATAGCAGCACAAAGGTCTGAAAACTTCATCTTGAAGGCCTTTCTCAGCTTGGGGCTGCTTAGCATCAAGATGGTGGAGTGTATGGAGATGCCTGCATAAGTTATCACTTCCCAAGCCCAGTACCAGAAATTTTGGATGACTATGATCTGTGTAGCAGACACCACCAAGAACAGAAAATACGATGTGTAGAAGATGAAGAAGAAGGCAAGTGACTTCAGAGCCATGGTGTGAGCCTGGGTGCTGGGGTCATGAGGCCCGGGTCTGTGGTCCCTCATCTGCCCCACATGCCGATACAGTGAGAACATAAGCAAGATGATGGACATGAGGAACAGGAGGAATGGAGTGACCCACATAAGCATTACATGACAGCGATAAAAATACTGATAGAAAGTCATCATTCTAGCAACTGTGCAGTTTTCATAGGAGACCATCATCTGAGAGGCAATTGTTTGCCCAGTGGCTGTGGAGATGACCGACAGGCCACCAATGACTATAGATACCAGTAGCAACCTGGGCACTGACCGAGAAATCCTCCATTTCAGCCATAAGAAGATGGGGTGGGAGAAGGAAGAGATCTTCACACAGTAGAAGATGGCAAGCCATGTGGTTAGCCAGAAAGTGACAGTGTTGATGAAGTCCCAGAGAATGCCAAAATGGTTGTTTCTGTAACAAAATAAAAAGGAGATCAGAAAGTCATTCAGGGTAGCTAACCCATGCAGGCAGAACCTGGAGGCAGCAAGGCAGGCCACAATCATGTCACCTGAGGGTAGAGCCCGGCTCTTCTTCCATTCCCTGCCCAGCACAGTGACAATGAACCCATTTTGCAGCATAGCAACCAGCGACTCCAGGCAAAAGATGACCATGAAGATCAGTATGGGTGGTAAGGGCATTTCCAGGATCTGCTTAGACCAGCTCCTACTGCAGAGCACTGGGACACATCCAGAGGCAAAACAACAGCTCCAGCCTTATCACCTTGTGGAGACCTCTCCCTGGATTCATGCAAAAGCCTAGCCATCAGCAAAACCTCATTCCACCAGAATTTGAAATGATGTTTCCTGTCTTGCCTGGCATGCAAATCACTCCCAGTTCATTGACACGTGTCTCTATTTATGGACACTGTATTTGCCTACTCTATCAGAGCCAGGTGCAGGGAAATGCAAACAGGATAGGGGTTCCAAGGGGGATTGAAAACACCAACACTTCACACATTTTTACTTTATTTATTATGATCAATGTATGGATTGTATGTATTAACGGGTTTCACTGTGATGTTTTCATACATGCATACATGGTGTTTGATTACATCAGCCTCTAAATTTACCCTCTTACTCAGCCCAGATCCTCTTATCCTTTTCTAGCAATCCCTCTACTATTTACAAGTCAGTTTATTTTTTATTTTTATTCTAGATTACACACATATGAGGGAAAATGTGCACATTTGACTTTCTGCCTCTGGCTTATTTTACTTTACATGATGACCTCTAGTTCTATGCATTTTTCCCACAAATGACATCACTTCATTCTGCTATAATCATCCACTGTATGTATACAGACCACATTTTCCTTATTTGTTCATCTGTAGATGCTGAGGAGGATTCCAAAGCTTGGCTATTGTGACCAGTGCTGGAATAAATATAGATAGCTAGGATTGCTTTTGTGTGCTGCCTTTGTTTCCTTTGGATATAAATGCAGAGTGGGATAGCTTGATCACTTTTAGGTTTTAGAGGAACTACCACAGTGATTTTCCTAGGGACTGAACTAATTTACATTGCCACCAGCAAAGTGCAAGGGTTCCTTTTAACCTGTATCCTAGATGGCTTTTTGTTAATTTTCAGTTTTTTATGGTAGACATTCTGACTAGGGTGAGATGGAATCTCAGTGAAGTTTTGGTTTTCTTTTTATTATTGGATAATTATATACATTTTTCATGCTGGTTTTATGGCTACTTAAAGTCACTAAACTAACTTACTATAGTCCTCCTTTAAATGCTATTGTATCAATTTATATATAGTATAATAAGCATAAAATTGTATCTGTTTCTCCTTTTTGGCTTTTATGTACTGACATACATTTTACTTCTATATATGCTAAGAATTCCATAATTCTTATTATTTTTGCTTTAAGCAGTCAGTGACACTTTATAGTTTTAAATATAGAAATTGTCATATATTGCCGGTATAGTCACATTTATGATATTCTTTTTTGTTTCTTTGATTGGACCCAAGTTTTCTTTTGGAATCACCTTTTTATTTGTTTGTTTTAGGGAAACTTATTTTTCAATAAATAGTCTCTAAAATGTGCAGCGGTTGGAAGGTCATGCTGAAGTGTTATTTATTCTTGTAGTTTTGTTTTGCTATTGTAATTCATTTGGTGTTTATCACAGATGTATCTCTTCTTTTCTCAATGTGTATTTTTATTTAATTTTTGTGTATTTCATACAATACATCTTAATTGTATTTAGACCACCCTCTCCTCCTATTGGTTTCACCTTTTAGACAGTAAAATATTTTGTATAATAAAAATGAAGAGTCAAGAATAGGTCAGACAT